ATTAGTTTGCTTCCCGAGTCCGCCTCAATAGATGATTACATGGCTACTGTGAGCTTCAGCAACCACTGGTCACCCTTCCCCCTCCTCCTCCTCCCGCCCCCTCCCCGTATGAACAGTTACACTAAGAAGCGTCCGGAAATTAGCTTATTCGCCAGCCTCCGCACCCCCGCCTCCAACATCTAAAGTCGCATTCACAGCGGGGAACCCAGAAGGCTATTAGGGGTGGAGCAGTAGGCCGATCATTTAGGTGATCTCAGCAACAATGAAGAGCGTTGGGAAAACTAACGAGCTAAGCATCTTGCTGGGACGCCGTGTTATAACCTATCCTCCACTGGCTATGGTTTGAATAACCTCTGATGTGGCCTGCCCGATGAAGGTCGTGGCATTTCAGAAAACAACTGGATGGACTGACTTCGTCATCAGCTAGTCCTGACGGCAACTGTAAGCATTCAAACCGAATTACTAAAGAACCGCGTAAGAGTGGAGAAACGGAGGGCTGAATAGTAAATACCTAGGGCTTTAAGTGGACAGCTGAGCTGGAAGGAGTAGTATTGCCAGAAAAACCTACTGAATTAAGTCGTATGGCGAACATGTGAGACATCGATTTAAGCAGTATTTGTTACTAATATGAAAGTGCCTCAAAGCTCCCATTCTGTTGAAGAGCAATGTACTAATATAAGGCTTGTGGCCTCCTAACTGCCCTGTTCCGTTGTCGGGATGCAGGGCTCCCACCAGATGGTAGTACATGGTCCAATGATCCGCGTATGCTGAAAAGGACGTGGGTTCCATTTTAGATGTTTTAAGGCTCACCCAGTAATGATAATAAAAGCCCAGACTGGAGGAAAGGAGGCAAAATTTAAGTGAACATTTGAGAAGTGCCCAAAATCTTTTGTAAATTACTAATACATGCCTTACAAAGATTTCCTACTGCAAAAACATGCCTTACGGTGAAATGGGCGAATGACCGCTTCTTGGTTTCACTTTTAGATAGAGAGCAATGTGCCGCCTTCGTCTCTGTCCTACAAATATGCGCAGCTGAAAAGGAGTAATAGCTTTCGGGTTAAGCCTATAGAGCTCCAGTCCGAATTAAGGAAACTGAAAAGAAATAATATTTGTCAAGAAATCATTTTACCAATCAACTGTACCAGGATACGAAGGATCGTTCAGAGTGCTTTGTTTTGGCGAAGAAATTTATTTAAAACGCCTATTACTGAGTTGTATGGCTAGGCTCAAGGGTGGTCTATGTTAGCTCCACACGCAGAACACTCAACGGATTCATTTTTCTTAAATCGGAACCACGAATTTATGCGTTTGTAATTTCATTTTATAGCCCCCTACACGTAAAATTTCGTATATCTCCGGTATAGAGCGCCTTTATCTGATTCATGGTTGAATGGGGGTACCCAGTGAGCGTAAACGGTGCCCCTAGAACCATATAAGAGTTATTACTGACTATCATTAAAATACAATTAAAAAGTTCTGAGTAGACTAGCTTTACCTTTTTTCGTATCTGAAAAGAATCAACAAATCTAAGGAGACAACGCGTGGAGCCAGGCGTAAATGTCTGTCATTCACCATGCGAAAAGTTTAAGATAACTTAACTATTCCCTTTGTTATTGCCATAGCAAACCAACGGAGTAGAACGTGTCAAGGCGACGAATAAGTATATTTCGCCCTTTCACACTCCTTTCGTTACACAAACACCTATGCAACTTTTTCCCGCTCCTTCGTTTTGTTTTTGGGGAGTTTGGCGTTCCATTTTGAGACTTCCCAATATAATGAAAATGCTAGCTAATATTTTTGGATTGTTCTCTAACCGTAGTTCCGCTTCATGTGTGATTGAGTTAGTTGTTTACGGACTCCAGTTTACCCGTGCTAGTTCGCACCCACGCCTGAAAACCCGTATATTTTACACCTTACTCCATTCGTTTTCAGACTTACAATCGAATCGTAACCGCTGAACATCCCTCCCGCAAATAGAGGTGGTGATATCCTGTTGGCAAGCCATAAGGACGACAGTGTGTAAAGTACAACGCGCGGAACGAATCCGGCGTTCGGTATGGAAGTGTTGTCCCCCCCCCCCCAAACACCGAGATGATATCGTGAACATATCTCCCCACCCCCTTTTTTAGGTTTTCCTCGCACGCCACTGCAGGAGGGGAGGGGGAGTCACTGTATCCTGTCTGGATCGATGCTGGTATTAGCCACAACATAGAGGGGGCATCAGCAGTGTTTGGGCTTGGCCCACGGCAGGGATGACTAAGGCCTGTCTCACACGAGTTAGAACAGGTTTGTCCAAGGCCACAAATCAGCCATCTCCCCATCCACCTATGCAGGAGCGAGGTTCGACATTAGCCAGTGCCAAAAATCAGCAAGGATGCTCAGCCACAATTATGCAGTTCGTTTTAACACGTTAGAACGGAGGTTTTGTCCTTTATTCAGGCACGGTCTGCAGACGAACAAGGACGACGTGCTTGCGTCCCCTCACCTTGACGACCTCAGTCTCACGTCATTTCCACGTTTTAAAGTCATGCACTCCGATCCCTAAGTGCTTAGGTAAGACGACACAATTTCATGCATGAGAGTCTTATCAAATGAGAAGTTGACAGCTACGTGCAACGAAGGAGAAATCATATTTATTTCTGGATTAGTGGAAACTTTTCACTCAAGATAATTCAGGCACTGTGAATGAAAAGAGAGCAAAAACAATTGGTGCAAAACAAGTTTATGGGAAAATCAGTATGACCGCCAGGCAAGACCTCAGTCTCCGTCCATCTGTCTCGTGACGCGTCAGCAATAGAGGCAGACGTCGCATGACCAACTGGTGATAAGCTGATGCACGACAACAGAGGTGGCGATAGCCGCACTGGATTGAATGGACGAGAACCGGTGCTTTCTACGTGGTATGGTCAGGCCGTGCCAGCCACCTGCGCCCTCCGCCGCCTCCAGTCTTCTTGACTCTGTCTTGACACCGCGCCCGAGTGGGGTGCGGGGAGGAGAGAGTGCGGTAGATGCTTCGCAAGTCTACTATCATTTAAACTAATTCACGCGCGTCGCCGTGCCTGCTGTACTTCGCTGTGTAGCATACGGTGGACATCGGCGGAATCGACAGTCGAACTGGCACAGATTGGATGGAACGACCGGACAGCAATTAAGTTAGAGTAGGTGGGTGTGGGTAACGCACTGGAGAATTCGTTTGGTTATGAACCTGGCTGTCTCACAATGTCGTTTGGTTGGGCACGAGAACATGGACCCCCATATTACAGGTGATCTTGCCCTTACGTCCAAGGTGGGCTAGAGTTTGTGTTAGGGTTGTGGAGGTTAGGATTGGTGTCGTGACTAAGACTTATGAAAGTTCGTGTTAGGGTAAGTGTTAGGGTCGGGGTTGAGGTTAGGACACAGGAGTAGGAAAGTCACAGGAATTTAGCGCGAGAACCGTTAGGAATAAGAGGGAGCGTGCAGTCAGCAACGAATGACCTGATGTAGTGGGAAAGTAAGCGTTTGACGCGGTAATCATCGTTACGAAACGGGTAAAAAAACAGATTCAAGAAGAGAAAACGAGAGCGAATCGAAGAAAAAAGGAAATCAGGGCGTTGGGAACACAGAGCCTCCCTGGAAGAACAGGAAAACGATCGCAGGCTAAAAATCCAACGAACCGATTTCCTGAAGGACATCCTTAAAAGACAGGATATAATAATAATTGTTGGCGGAATGACTAACAGCAACGATTCCCACGTACTTTAATCGCAGAAAGCATTGGGCAGCTGTAAGTCCTCAGGGTGAGCTGGGACGACTTAAAGCGATGGACTGGAACCGTGCAGAATGTCAGAATTGTTGGGAAAAAAGAGTTGATTTTATTCCGTCAAGCCACAAATATATTTCGAAATGCGTGGTCTGCGGGCCAGAGGACAATCCAAATAGGAGCGGTTCAGTCATTTGCATCTGTCGAGAGAAGATCTCGTCCGACGGTGATAGATGCAGAAAATAAATCAGAAACTTCGAACAGGGAAAAGAGAATAAAACATGCCGAATTAAATGACCTCATAAATCATTAAATGCATGCAAATAAGCTGGGCGCCTCATCTAATTCACAGTCTACAACCATCATCGACTACGAGAAGTCTGGAAGTCCATGCCGTCAGAAAGAGCTGACGCGAGAAGCGTTCGAGATGACAAACTCATTCATTTCATTTTCGGATGTTCTGCCGACTAAATTATCGTGGAGTCATTCAGCAACTGACTGGCGAGGTGAGTCTATGAAGATTGGTGATGGGGAGGGACGGAAATTAAAATCCCTGTCGTGGTGGTTTTCCGACGGTGTGAGTTGGTGGCATCGCCATTGTCTGTCATTTAACGCTATGTCATTGTTAAACTTTTGGACGATCTTATGCTCACTGACGTTGACGCCCGTTTATTAGATTAATCTTACAGGTTTGCGACAGTTAATACTACACATGCGCTACTCTCCCGTATGCAAACCAAAGTACACACGTTATTCTTCTGGACGTCAGAACATCTTGGAAAAGGAACCGGATTCCGTTTAAGCCGAATAGTCGTTCCGCCCTCCTAATGTTTCCCCACAGCCTCTCGAGTTCCGCGCGCTGACTGTCACTGCCCCTAGCGGTCGGTTTTCTCGGCTGGGTGGAGAACCGCAGTACAGCTCCCCCGACCTGCCGCGCTACGTCTGCACGCTTTGTCTGGCCAAACCTCGCCTCTACCCTACCCCAGACAAAGGTGCCTGTAGCGTTCCATGCAGATTTAGTTCCGTAGCAGTTGGGCTGAATTCGGGGCAACGCTCAGACGGGCATATGTTCGGACCGGCGTGGATCGGGTTCTCTCAGACGGACCAGTCAACGCGCAGGCTTCGTCTATTGGCTCACACAAGCAGCCTTTTACACGTGCATCTCAGCCAATGAAAAACTGGCATTTCTGCCACCAATTGACGAAGCAATATAACCCACCACATGCGTCATGAGGTTAAACACCTGGTCGTCGCAGGTATGGCCGGATGTCCCCCTGCTCTCTCCCGCGAGTCCGGTAAACACCTTGAGGTGAGTCGACAGCCCCTGTTTATTAAAATATTTCCGAATTATAACTCACTCGATTTGTTTATTTGCCGATGAAAATTGGTCTGATTCACATTTCACACCAACTGTTATTAGTCCTGTGAATTAACGCCCTGGCTGCAGCGGTAAGACCTGGGGATGGGAGCCTCCACGATACAGGTTGCCTTGCGCTAAATTCCAAGAAGGATAGCTATTTCCGTGTCCTAACCAAATCTCTCGAAATCTAGCGCAAAGCCAATTGTAATACGGGGCGTGGGGGTCATATTCCCGTGTCCTACCGCAGTTTCACTTACTGCTTTCGAGCTGGCTTGAGACGCCTGGAGCATGGACCTTTGTCTTAGCCTGTTACATTGCGTTGCCTGGGGACTGGACACAAAAAAACAAGCCATAGATGGTTGTTGCTGTTTCCCCTGTATTTATCGGCAATGCTTGTCGATCATCAATTGCCCGTACCGCCTGTCTCAGCTCTAAACCGGGGTACCATGACAACAAGGGGCGCCAGTTGCCGTTTCATTCCCGGACCAGATCTGCGTGCTGGACTGCAGGTTATCCAGCCTGCCCCCGTATTCGTCCTTTCCTGAGGAGGCCCTTTTTCTTAGCGCAGTCATCAGAACCAGTGGCTTGTTCCGACATACTCCCTGACGCAAAACCACCGCTTCATTTTCGTGCATTCCCTTGTGCTTAGTGCGGTCTTAGTTATCTTGTTGTCGTGGGTGTGCAATTCGAAGCAGTATTGTCATTTAGGACAACGGGGGCTTTGCGACACGGAGCAAAAAGTGTGTTGTAGGGGTGTGCGTTCGTATGGGTTACCGCACACACAACTGGTTGATACACGTGTCGTTAAGACCGTTGCTCCTTATCCCTCCGCCAAATTTTCGAGTTTCGCTCAGCCGCAAACTGCCAAGCGCACAAACATTCTTGCGCATTCTCTGATGAAGACTATGCGTATAGTTGGACTGCAAAATCGTTTGGGGGACCATTAGAGCTGTCCCGTGTGATGATGAGTGTCCGCTGTCTCGCAGCCGACAGGTGTTAGGTCGCCGCCAAGTCAGCTGTCAAAAGTGGACCTTGTTCACTATAATTGGTGTCCCACGATCCGTGGACACTGACCCTTCTCTGCGTTCTTATCACAAAAAGGCTGCATTTGCCTCATTCACAACGCTAATCCGGTGCGCATCTGTCTTCGTGCAATTTCGCGATCGACACTGCAGCTCACGCCGGAGGGACGCCGAGGTTCGCACCCTGAAACAGGTGTGCGCTTCATTAGTGCCGATTACGCCCGACACGCGCCTGGTCCGGTTCACACCTGTTTGGCTTGGGACTCGATAATTACAGCTCACGACGACACCAATGATTATCACCCACGCGCTAGTTAGATGACCCCCTACGGGAGGGGAATAGCTTCGTCCTGGCAAACAGCGGCTCAGATCCGCATCAACTGTTTGTAGAGGTGTATTTTGCCGTGGAACACGGAACTTTACTGCAACCACGCGGATAAATCGACGCACTGGCGCCAACTTTGTGCAAATTCGTTTTTGGAATAAGCCTTTGTTTACCAAGACTTCCAGAGAACTGTGACGCCGTAGTACCTGAAAAGTTCCCATTGGAGTTCCGGAATCTGTAACATGCCGTAAGAGATGTTTGATTCTTGGATGTGCATTCATGCGTGAAACACCCTTCCTGGGACTTCTTTATGTAGCTCGTGCTGTACCGGTTAAGGCCAGGTCCCGGTTAGCGGGTGAAGAGTGAAGGATTTATCCCATTCAGAACACCGAACACTTGCCTCAGCAGTGAGTGGCCGCTGTCGAGCTGGAGGGTGCGTGCTGACGGCGTTGATTTCTGCTCAAGTATAATGTCAGCTATTCCCCGCACCTGTCAACTGACCGGCTCGGACGGTGGCTGGGGCATGGGAATGAGAAGGGAGAGTAAGGTCGACGACTCAGCGCATTTTACCAACTATTAACAATCTGACACGCTTAAGGCCATCGCGGTGCGCTAAAAGTCGTGGCTTGGAAAGGTTGCCAGCTGACGGGATAACTTGGACCTGGCAGTTGGCCTAGTTCTGTGTGAAACGGCTGAATGGTGGTCTGAGCGTCAGGCTGCAATGGCTCCTTAGCGTGGCTTTTATGGCACTCCCACTCCGTGGGATCCGAGCCCGGTGTGGCGGCCCACCTAGGGGTGGCTCCGACCTGCGCCCTCCTGCCTCCGGTTTTCGTGGAACGGGTCAATGTGAGGAATGTGGCAGATACAGCGGAAGTCGCCGTGCCTGCTCCACCTTGCCGAAGAGCACACGATTGACATCTTCGATAACGACAATCGAAATGCCACAATGTGAGCTTCTTTTTGGTTTATGAAAGCAAATTCAATTGTCTTGTTTTCAAGTTGTGTTTTCAAGCAAGTGTGGCTGTAGTCATCGAGACACATGTATGACAAATGTACCGCAAGGTCATCGCGGAGAGTGAATAATGTTGACGCGGTAGGGTGCTGGGAAAAGGTTGGCGGTGTAGCGATAGTCAGTTTTACTTTCAATGCCTTCTTGCCTTGCAGGCCGTTCTAACTAACTATGCCAGACGCCTCGCCTCTACCACAGAGTGCACTGAGATCACCCTACTTCGCCAAAAGCGACCCCAGCACTTCGCCACTCTCTGCAAATTCCATCTCTCACTCATTGTTGATCTACCAGCCGATTTCTCCCCCACTCGCATCGGTTCTAACAGGCTACAGGATGGCGGAGACAGCAATATCCTCTATTCGACTATTCGTCGAACTCGGGCCTGGACACGTTTCGCGCAACTGCCACAGGCTTCTTTGAAGACCACTCCCAATGCGGTCGCCGAATCTCGTGAGTTATATGGTCATTTTTCCTCAAATAAAAAGCCTGGAGGTCTGCATGCCACGCGTTGTGACCAGTTTATAGCTGTTTGTAGTGGGCCTGTTCACCTCCTCGCCAACATGGACTCTGGTTATGGCCGAAAATTTGGCGACTTACCAAACATCGCTGGCAGATGCATCGGCGGCGTGCTAGTGTTTTCAGTCCTGCTAGTTACTTGAGCCCTATCCTTCGCTGCAGTAAATATCACGATTTCCTGTGTATCTGCAGTCACTCCCACCATTTAGACGTGATTGACGGTGGTAGGAAACCGAGCCAAATAGACGGCACTCAGACATCATGGGATTAGATCATTTCCTGAGGGCCGTCTGTGCGTTTTTCAGCCATGCTTACGATCGCACTATCACTTTAACAGGCCTCTTGGTCCGCGGCACCATAGTAGTCTTTCTAATTTTTGCTCCTGGTTTAACAGTGGAGATAACAGGTGAGGGCAGTTTTGGTTGCTAGGGCGGAGAGCTAAAACTCTCCAACCTGCGCTCACACGCGAGATTTCGCGCTGGGAACAATTTTGTAAAGTGATTATTTGGTTCACCTTTGTTTTTTTGCAGAAATACCTCGTGCACCAACTGTCGGTTTGGCGGATGCCATGAGCAGTAAGGACCACGTGTACCAGAACGTGTCAAAGCTAATGGATCTCCTTCTTCAGGACGATTGTAAGCCACCATTTTGATATACATATCGATACTCGTTTGTTTTAGGTCACTATTTTATTGTCTGTATTTGTCTGGGCTTACAGCATACTGTAACATCGTTACCCGATATAAATGCGTTTCCGTATTTCTGATTGCCTGTTCACATGCCCGAGCCCTGGGCTACTGTGCCGAACCTTGCATTAGTCAGTTACGACGAGATATTGTCTTCTTGTGTAGATCTGAAGACAGAGGGTATATTTCGCAAGACCGGCAATGTTGTTCGCCAGAGAGAACTCCGCCGATACATCCTTTCTGACACCGAGGTTGAACTACCGCTCACAGCAACTGCCGGCTCTGTTCGTCGACATCGGAAGAACCGCCACGTCACCACGACTGCAAACTTTTGTAACGGTCCCAGCAATAGGGTACGACCTCAGGCCGGAGAAGGTGAGCCAAACGGGGATGTTTTCAATGTTCACGACTATGCTGCCACCCTGAAGAATGTCCTCCATGACATGCCGGAACCCATTCTGACCAGGGAACTCCTCCCCGTCTTCTCGGCGGTATCAAGTAAGTTATTTTTTAAAGGCGACATGTTCGCGACATGTGCATGTATAGGCACATTTTCATCGGTTTTATTATATCCTCTTACCACAGGCCTGACGATAGGCAACCTAGATGACAGTGGAAATCGGGTCCCACTCTCGCCCCTGGACTACAAGGTTGCCGTCGCCAAACAGTTGAAAGCACTAAGAATCCTCCGTCTCTTGCTACCCGAAAAAAATCAGCAGTTGCTTCGACAGTTCCTGGATCTGCTGAGTCGGACTCTGCAGCTTTCTCATCTCAACAAAATGTCCGCTGACAACTTGGGAACTGTGTTTGGTCCACCGCTCCTTGCACCAATCGGGGTAAGCTAATGTCTATATACTGACAATAATTTATTGGGCTAGTAGACAGACGATCCTTCTGACAATGACATCTTTTCTTTTTCTCTCTAGACCCCAGTCACCGAGTTCCACCGACAGTACGCGAATCTTGGTCGCTTGGCCTCTTTGATGATCGAGCAGGGCTCTACAAGCATCTTTTCAGTGCCGACTGCACTAGCGGAAGACGTCATCCGCAACCTACCCCAAGATTCGGCAGAGTCCTTGGCCAGCTTTACCAGGAGTCTCTCGGCTGACTCGGGTGTCGATAGCTGTAGCGGTAGCAGCACCGATATCAGCCAGCCATTGCAGCTTTCCGCCACTGGACCTGTTCTGGAAGAAGTTGGGAGGCGGACAGTGCCGTCACCCACGTCTTCAATCGTGATCTACACTGGTGTGGTTTATGCCCATGCGAGTGGCGGCGGAAGTTGTGGCGCTGACAGAACGCCCTCCAGTCGCCTCTCGGACACGGAGTTTGCTGTGGCTGAACTCTGTGCCACTGTACAGGCCTTGCCGGACACAGACCCACGCAAATTGTGTCTAATTCAACGGATAAACAACTCCAATGGTGGCCTCACACCAGCCCTTCAGGCCGAGTACAAACGGCTTCGGGACGCTCTCTCCTCCCCCTCATTAACTCCCCTCAGTAAAACAGGAGGAAGCGGGGCTTTGTCAAGAGAGGGAGGCCGTGGCGCGACACGCGTAAGTTTTCCTGTCTGTGTAGGGCAGTACGCTTCAAATATAGGTTTGCTCTTAATTCTGTAGCATTCAGCAAGTCCGCCCAGGAAAGCGCTTGACTTGTGGTGGTGGTGGTGGGGTCCGTTTATTGTCTCGTTAACTGAGAACCAGAAAAGACTGATAGAGACTGCGTTGTTCATTCCTATTATGGTCCGATGAGTACGCGGGTTTTTTTTCTCAACGATGTACAGTTAAGGAATACTGATTACCAGTAATTCCACTTTATTTTAGCGCAAAGCTTCCGAAAGGCCCGCTGGTATCCTCGCGAAACGGCCCTGCTCTAAGTACCTGACTGTCCTTAGGGTGACGGACGACGGCGGCGGCGCTGCTGTTCCTAAGGACGGTGAGGCCACCACCTCGTCCACCTCTCTTGACGGCCGATGCGCGCCCTTCTGTTGCCCTATCATCAGCGTCCTGGCTTCCCCCTTCCGCCGACCAGTGCATTCGGATATTGCACGCGTGCGACCGATCAAACGGAGTCTTGAGACGGTTGAGTCAGTCGCGCCGGACGAGCGGCACCCTGTCTTCGAGGAAACCGGCGACGAGGACTACTTCGATGGTTGCCAGGATGATGGACAAGAGTATGCTGGGACTCCTAATAGTCCCATTTTTTCGGGACTCGGTATTAACAGCTCAGTCAGCTCGGACTCTGAATTCTTCGAACAGGTTGAGGTGTGCCTCGTATTTATTGCTGTCAAGTTTTCTCATCCTTACCGGCCGAAAATTATTCCTTGTCGATGCATTCTTGTTCGGCACTCTGGCAGATGTATTGCCATACCCCTAGTGGTGGGAGGAAGCACATACAGCTATGTCCGGGTTGCAGCAGTGTACTCGCCACTCTCTACCCCCTCCGCCTCCTGGTTGAAAATAATTAGCTTTGCAAGTCGGAATTGTGTATATCGGGTCATAATGATAGTACTTCTTCCGTTTGTCCCCCGACATTATTCTGCCTTTGCAAGCCACCAGTTTCGGTAGTGAATACTGTGAAGCAACAAAATCCTTAGCTCCATTTTTGGTGCCTTATCCGTAATTATACCTCCGCCGGTACAGGTAGTTGTGGCGTATTACTACCTTATTACTGTCGAATATACTGAACTAATTTCAGTGGGTAAATGATCTACTTGTTACACATATTCTTCCATATCCCGCTGACGTTGCACCATTATGCGGTTGATTCAGTTGTTCGGCTTCGCTTTGCGCATAATTTGTGCCCACGGTATCCATTTTTCTCCCCCTCAATATCTTACGTACCTTTTGAGTATGTGCGACACAGTTCGTGTATGCGACCGAGGGGATCGGGACATTCTTCTCCAGACAGTTTGACAAATTCTCCTGTGTACTAGACCGACTGCACCCAGTACAGGGGAAAACGGAACAGTTTATAGTTTCGACAGGAATTGTTGTGCGGTTTTCCCATCTACCTCCTTTATATTTGCTCAGGAGTCTCCTCATTACCTAAGTATTTCCCTTGTTTTTGACAGTTTCTGCGCTCCCCGATTGTTCGCGGTCCTGTGCCTTCACCCTCGCAAAGCGTCCGTCGACGGTCCACCTGCCTCTCCCGCCTACGTGTCCGCCGCAACTATGCGCGACACACCAAGGGCTACCACGAGCCCAGGATCCCCACTATGCTGCAGCGACAGGAGCAAGAACAACGGCACGATTATGAGCGAAGTTCTTTGTGAACGGACCGAGTCAACTGTCGACCTGAAGAGGAAATCTGCGCGCTTTCACTTTTTTTCACCTTGTACCAACGATTCGGATAATGTGCGTTATTGTAAATACAGGCAAAATTTACTTTAATGCGTCCTGTTGTTGGCACGCATAGGACAAATGAATTGGGACGGACTCACGTGCATACAGCTGATCCCGATGGAATGTTGTAGGGGCAGTTTCTACATATACCGCTAATTTTTTCGTCTATCAGGACCGCCATACGTCGTGGAGGCACGAGAGGCGTGTGTCGGTTCGCGCATCGTAACTGTCGGTGCCCCCCTAGTTCTTGCAGAATTGCCTAGACACTTTGTGCTTTATCGTGACAGTGCCAAGCAGCGACGCAGTCCTTGGGGGTCACGTGGCGGCAGGGGTTGTGGGTGTTCTCCCGAAACAACTGTGCCGGTCCCCCTGTTTTCCCTCGAAGGCCGTGTTGCACGTACATCCCAGGTTCTTGTTTAAGAGAAGACAAAGGCACGATCACTGGGACGGTAGATTTAGTGACCTTAGCTTTCGAACTCGAACTGGAGTTCGTGCGAGACTGCTAGAGTGCAGCAACGTGTGGGCATTTATATCGTTGTGCCATGAGGGGGGGGGAGGACTACGTCCGTGGCTAGGTCTGGTTTGCGCTGCCTGATCCACAACGGCCCCCCGGCGTGGTGACGGCGTTTGTTCGTCGCGGCGATGGGAGCTGCGCCACCTGGTTGCGTGGGCGGGGCGCGTGATAACACGCAGGGAAATCAATGTGTCTATTGATAGAGTTGGTGTGCAACACCCGCACCTCCAACAGTTCTTGCCCCGTCTTGTTGCCGTCTCACGCCAATATCCGCGTGTTGGCGAAGTCGAACTCATGGCCTTCCTCCAGCGTGTGAGTGGCGACTTGAGACAGGTAGTTCTCCGGTCACACCTTTTCCGCTTTTGTTAAGACCTTGCATCTGTGGGACCTGGGGGCTGCCTGCCGCGTGAGGCAGTTGCGAACTCCACATTGGAATTCGAATCCCCCTAGCCTCCACCACGCTGTTTTTTTTTTCTATGGATTACGGCCAGGTTAATTGTATGTTGCGAGACGCCTCCGTCTAGGTGCCAGGATTCGGAAGTACCCTCGTCCCACTTCCGTTTGTGAGGCCTGAAATGTGCGCCGCATGGATGAAACCAGAGTAAGGATTTGATTGTAGGAATCAATTTGGTCACTTCAACGGGGGAACGCGCGGTCACGAGTACACAACTCGTCCGGCCGCTTCCGAATGGCAAAACAATTCACGATTCGGAGTCAGGCGCACAAACGCAGTGGAGACCCTCGGGATTTCCTAGTGCGCCTGCGCCAAGAATGTGGCCTCCATATCAGGGCATTTGTGGCGAATCGAGGCCAACTAAACACTTCGGGGTCGCAGTGCACTAGTGGGTGCGGGCAATGTTACCTGGGGCGAGGCTGTCGGTCGCCAGTTGGGATAGTCTACCCGTCGCAACCCCACACCGTCCCGTTCGTGGGGCCAACGTTTCCGCGTAGCTGAGATGCTTAGCATTTCAAAAGATAGGGGAACGCTGAGGGTACAACAGGCCCCCTAGTAAGAGTTTGACCGATGAAACGCTAGTATCTCACAAATTAGTCTTGGTCATAGGGAGATGGAAAAAAATGGCGCAACAGGCTAGGAATCCGCGCTGACACTCAGATTTTTGGTAAATTGACAAAACTGTAAATTCGTCCATCAGACACTGCCTCTTCTGATAAGTGACGCAAGCGCTGCGTCTAGCTTGTAATACATTTTATAGCAGTGAGAATCCCTCTGTTTTGAAGGCAGCACGTGGAACGCAAAGGCTCGAGTTTCGAACTTCCATAGGACACGGAGGAGTTAAAAAGTCGGTTGCGTACTCACCTATTGCGACTTGTGAACGGAAATGTGTCAGTTAATGAAAAATCATGCGTTCACGCAATACCCGGGGAATGTCCCACATACTGGGTCACTGCTCTTAACAATAGCTATTTCTGACGATTTCCAATAGACTTGTCCCCATCTGCTTGGCGTCCAGTTGGACTGCCCACCCACCGTTTCAGTCTTCAGTCATAAAAATACACTTCCGTTTTATTTGCAGTCAATAAGAACAAAAAAGAGTGCTCCCGCATCCACGTTTCACTGAGGCCATCATGCAAACAGCAAGCTCAATCTAGCCATTGTTGCGTACGGCGGGCAATCACTGCTAATAACGACACTACATGCTGACAATTTTGTCCAACCACTTCTTTTACACCGGAACAGACCACGATCCATTCATTGGCGTTTCGGTGGACAGTTATGCCTAGCTACGGACATTATAACTTCAGTTGACAGTCCTCCTCGGGGTTGACCACATAGTGGATAATCACAAAAATTCAGAATATGGTAGTAGCGATTCATCTGTTAAATGCACCGAAATAACTTTACCTTTTAACGCCAATCACCCCACACTTTGAGGCGAATTAACGAAGAATATCAAAGTCGACGACAACATTTGATCTTGGGTCTCCAGTGTTAGTTGCGTTACCAGCTACAGTTCGTAACTGCCGGGGCATTCTTCTCGATATGGAAATGGGACTTTTCAGCGGGTGTGCACCTGACCATGCTCCTCTTTGAGGTGGAAGCCGTAACGATTTATTCATACCAGACAAGAAAAATGGACCGCGTCAGCCACCGCGCCCATTCCCTGTACCTGTCAACTGACCGGCTCAGACAGTGACTGGCGCCTGGAAAGGGAGAGTGAGATCGACGGCTCAGCGCACTTTTCTCACTATAAACAATCTGACGCGCTTGAAGCTACCACGGTGCGCTAAAAGCCGTGGCTTAGGTCGCCAACTGACGGGATAACTTGGACCTCGCAGTCGGTCCATTGTTGTGTGTTTGTGTGGAGCGGCCGGCTGGTGGTCTGAGAGTCAGGCTGCAATGGCTCCTTCTTAATGTGGCCTCTATGGCACTCCCGCTGCGTGGGATCCGATCCGGGTGTGGCGGCATGCCTAGGTGCGGCTTCGGCCGTGCCAGCCTCCAATCCCTGTTGTTGTTGCTCAAAAACCTGGTCATTAGCTGTGTGGACCAGGGGATGTGGAGTGGAACGCCAAGGTGCGGGCTCGACCGTACTACCCACCCGCGCACTCTCCCGCCTCCGGTCTTCTTGACTCTGTCTTGACACCGGGTACAGGTGGGGAGTGGGGAAGAGAGAGAGAGAGAGAGAGAGAGAGAGAGAGAGAGAGAGAGAGAGAGACGCATCGCATGTCAGTTTAACTATAAACACATTTAAGTTGAAATCGCAAATACGTCCTCCGAGTTATGGTCCTCGACGTTTGCGATAGAGAAACCTATCATGTGCAATACTCGATTGCTCGTTTGAATTTGCTCCGTGCATTAGAAAGGAGGTATGGTGTCACCATATTCGATGTTGTTGCCTTTTAATTACAGTACGAACCGAGTTACAGATAGTTCGTGAAGGCCAAATGTGTACTCAGAAATCGGTTCGAACTCATAAGCTTTATCCAATTCACTGAGGTTTGCCGTGTCAAGCAGACCGCCTGTGGCGCAGGAATCTGATAGGTGAAGCTATGTTCACTTGTAGCCCTGACTTTCAGCCTTATCTTGACGAGATCACATGGGCACTCTGAAATTTAGTTGCTCCGAAGATACCCTACACAAGCCAGCTAAGTCGGTTTTTTTCTTCCCCAGTGGTTCGCAAAGGCAACAAATTGCCTATATCATGCGCCGCTGTGCGGTTGTTGGTTGGGCTCGAGAGAGAGAGAGCCCATAAGGCACAACGGAACGAGTGAGTTCCGTAAGAACGGTCGGTGGGCACCCCTCTACCAAGATGGATATTGTGAGATTCCGCCGAGAGAAGGGTGCTAAATTTAACGAAGCACATTTGGAGTAACTACGCCATATTGTACCAGAAACACAGCGCTTTAGTCATCGGCCACGAAATCCGCCACTTCATATTGAATGGTGTAAGTATAAACGAGTCAAATACACTCACATATACATGTTGTACGATTTACTATGTTGACAACACAGGTGCTAGATAAGAGCCCAGACACTTGCCTCACGATATTCTGCCGCCGCGTGAAGTTCGGCCCACCAGTGGGTCCCCTAGCGGTTCCCCTGTGTTTTCTCCCTAACCGGGTTCATAACCCTTCAGGTGAAAGACCGAAACGCAAGTTAAGCCCCATCTGCGGTATCATTTGCCACACATGGGAAATGATAATGGCGCGATAGAACAGAACGCCGCAAAGCGAGGTGTCGATGCTACTAATCGGTCGGCAATCGAATCCCGTGGATAATGGAGCATGCGAGTTTCGGTAAGCCATTTGGTCTTTTAACTCCACCCCCTTAAGACCCCCTACAAATGAACAGATGAGGCCAGATTAGAGCGGGAGCCGGGCTAGCGGGGGACGTAATTTAGTAGGTGGGTAGACGGGGGCCAATTATCTCAGATGATTGCCCGCAACCTGCGGGTAGGTGAAGGGTTCCATTTTGCGGACGCGACGACAACTGCTCGGGCGGGCAGAAAAACAGACTGGCAGTTGACTGGGGCTGGTTACCGTAACTGTTATCCGGTAATCAGCCCGTCTAAGACTCACCAACTTGTCAGCTTGTATAGACATCTTTCCAGGCAAACAACCTCGGCACTGGCTCTGACGGGCGATATCTGCCGCTTATTTATGGTTGTTTTCTTCGTCTTTGACACTGAGATTCCGTTTGAATTCGAAAGTCCCGATAAACAAATTACCCACTTTTACCACTTCAGCTGACTGTGTCATAGAAAGGTGATATGTCGTTTGCAGGCTTCTCTGTGCTTTTGCACCTGAGCCGGCATTTTTCTTCTCTCGCGTTAGGCCATTTTTCTGCTGGAAACGTGAAGTTGCACACTGTTCAGTGGCGCGGTCAATTGCATGCGCTACCATGCTTCTGAGGGGTGTGAAGGATCACGGACTGCAACCACTGAACCACGTAAATGT